TGGTCCACCAACCCGGTTATCACCCCGGATGTCGGCTTTTCGTCCTCTCACTTTGGTGGGAAAACACCTTTACCGCGGGAAGGTAATGAGTAGGGCTTCCTCAGCAGAGGCTGTTTGAGATGCTTGGTCGTACGGGAGCACTTCACGAAGCGCAAGGGAAGGATGACCAGCCGCAACCCTAGACACCCACCCCCGACCATACTGAGGCTTTCGGATGGATCTTGGCCTTATCAACCTAGCAGTATCTCTTCCGCTGGCAAAGCATAGGTTTCTTCTCTTATAGAGATTATTGTACCTTGATTTGTTCGGCACGTGATACATGGGAACTATAATAATGTATAATATTAGCGAAGCTAAATTTGTTCCTTTCTCGGTCCCGAGGCTTTGAATGACAACCACATCAGGTCCCAGTGAGATAGATACGATATTAAGGTGGGTCACAACGGGCTGTTTACTCTCAAACTGGATGGTAGTGACACGGTTCGAGTCTCGGCACTTGGTGGAAAACGCACGCCGGAGTTATTCTTAATTCTATCTTATAAACCACGTTGGTCGTATACTCAGTTTCCTCTTCGACGTATTTTAGGTTGTTTGAACATTGTCTTACTGCTTGCATCTGTCTTATGTTATAAAAAATTTTCTGAGTGCCATTTTTTTCTTGATCCTTTGCGTTAAACTATTGTCAGCATACTATCGTAATGTCCCAGACAACAACAACTCAATTATGTTTACAATTAATTGACTAATAACACTTGTGAGTTTGTCTCGATCACCCTGTTGATTTTTTGTAAACGTTCCAATTTTTTTTGTTCTGGCAATAATACTTTAATTACCAGAATGATAACATTTTCAAAATTACTTTGGTGCTGCCTCTAGGCAATCGTGTTTTCAGGATTTGAGCGAATTCAGAGTACGCTGCCAACTGTGTCCGTTCGATATCCACTTTGATGTAATAAATTAAATCGGTTCCTAAATGTCTTCCACTGACCATTTCTCTTCATTTGGGTCTTCCATACTGTATACTTCTTCTCCAATTTTTTGACAGGCTTTTTGTTGGATCGTCGTTATCCACTTTATAAGAACGTACAGGAATAAACAAGGAGTACAGAGATAGTTCATCCTCAATTTGCGGTATTGTCATCTGTTGCGTGAGTGAATTGTACTGAAGTTTTGTACGGTATGAACTGTTTCCTATCATTTAAGCACTCAAGATATGGTGTTTTGTCTGAGGTTGTTAAGGTACCCAAAATGAGTTTAGCGGGTGGACTTTCTGCGGTCATCCGGAGACCAGTAGAACCCACTGGGGCAGCGTGGGATCCGTAGTGGTCGAAGGACAATGGTTCAATATCTGAATCCTTCAAATTCCTTAGATCTCTCGGGGAAACTTATTGACTAAACAGGCGAAAAATGGTGACAACCGATTTGGATTCATTTGTAAGTATTTGTGAAAACGTTTACTAATAAATACCATATGCACATCTATTGCGCAACCGAACCAGGAAGACATTCAACCTCTCAACCTTGATTGAAGATGTAAATGCAGTTGAATCTGATGCGTCATCCGCTGCTTGCTTTTGTTTGCTGGTCTGTGATTTCTCCCTCAACGAGAAGAGCGGCATACATATTGACCAATTCAGTTTGTCTGTCTCAAAAACTATGGAACTACATTTAAGTAGCTCAATGTACATGCGTGTTTTGTGAGATTACTTGGAACTAATAAAACATTCAGATGCGATAAAGGAAAAAAACCGCGTTCCATTCAAATAACTGCAGTGTCACACTAAAGCTTGATTTTGAAGGTACTTCCGGGTATTTTTTTTTACTGCAGACAGTCTGATCATCTGCCTTTCATCATCTCCACAACATGCAATTTATTCTAAAATATTCTCAACTTTTGGTACCCGGAGGCAATTGGATGCATCGGTAGAAATTGAACTCTAACAAAGATGTGTACTAGTACAAAAGCGTGCCAAAGGCTCTTGGATTTCTTTCAGGGAATGATTATACCAGATCCCAGTACTGCTGCGATATACTCCTACTGCAAACTCACACTTCATCTCTCATTGATTTCTTTTACTCCATTGCTTATCAATACAGCCCCTCCAAACACAGATTCTCCAAGTGGGCGTCTTTCTGGTGTTGAGGCTCCTGCAGCCAAAGCCTTATTAAAAGAGCAGCGCAAGGCTAAACAATCCACGGTTGATCCCAGCCGGACGACACAAGTTACCTCAACAACCACATCTAGCTTTGATATGTTCGCTGATGAGGTAGAGCTAGGGCAGCATGTGGCACCGGGAACGATGGCTCTAGGTGCAATGGCCTCGGAGAACCACTCGTTGGCCGATAACTGGGATGATGCCGAAGGCTATTATCGTGAGTTTTTAAACACTAGTAAATTGTAAATTACTATGTCCAATATTTTGGTTTTGGTTTCATTCTTAAATTAGTTTCTCTCCCTACGCTTTCTAAATAGTTTACTTATTTCGAGCCAATGTCTATTCCGTAATCAGTTGATTGTTTTTTGTGAAGGCAAGAAGAACCATAATGATCACGGAATTTGCTGAATTCATCTATTTCTTGTTGATTTTATCAGCTGAGCGCACACTCAGTTCACGTTCGGCTGAAACAGTGATTTAACTGTATATAAACAACTGATGAAATCACCAAGAGGTAGTTAAAATAAAAAATCTTGTGATGACGATTCTCCTTCCTGTTATGAAAATATTGCAAGGAACTAGCTGCATGTTATTTGCGTATCAGTCTTTTTATTTCAGCTATGCTTCCCCGGTTCTTTTATTTGTAGGCGTTCGCATAGGCGAAGTTCTGGACAAACGTTACGCGGTTTACGGATACACTGGTCACGGAATGTTTTCCAATGTAGTGCGAGCTCGGGATAGCGCCCGTGGTAATTTGGAGGTGGCGATTAAGATTATACGGAATAATGAAGTCATGTGAGTTTCTTGTCCTCGTATTTGTGATTCTTGATTAGTTGCCCTTCTGATTATATTTTATTGACACCGGATTTTGTATTGCTTTAAATACCGATGATTTTCCTTTCTTATGGTCTACAGTATCACAGCCTCAGATTGATAAATCTATATATATAGTTGATAAAGTCTTTGCAGCCAACTATTCGGATGAGCACGACGGTTGTCGTCGGAGTCAACCGCGCGTATCGTCTAAGTCCTCAGGATTTTTATACGTTCAGTATTCATGTTCATCATTAAATTTGTTGCTGCTTTGTCGCTCCTTTTAGGCACAAATCAGGTTTAAAGGAGTTAGAGGTGCTGAAAAAGCTGAACGATGCTGACCCACAAGATCGATATCATTGTCTGCGACTGTATCGGCATTTCTTCCACAAAAACCATCTATGTATGGTTTTCGAGTCAATGAGCTTGAACCTACGTGAGGTGCTGAAAAAGTACGGTCGCAACATTGGTCTGCACATTGCTGCGGTGCGATCGTATACACAACAAATCCTATTGGCCTTGAAATTGATGCGCAAATGCGGTATCCTGCATGCCGATATCAAACCGGACAATATTCTAGTCAATGAGAGCAAAATTTTGCTCAAGCTATCTGATTTCGGCTCGGCCTCAAACATACAAGATAACGAAATCACTCCGTACTTGGTCTCACGATTTTATCGGGCTCCAGAAATCAGTAAGTCCGTTCTTTTCTCCGTTTAAACGGTGCCAGATTTCACAACGGCCCGCTTGTCAACAGTTTGACCTATTGACACTTCTGTTTGATTGTGGATTATGCTCATGCAGCTTCTTTGTTTGTACTTTCCTTCACCCCAATGATCTGAGAACATCTACCCGATCGTGTCTGGGGGCCAGGCAAATTATTGTTCGCTGAGAACGCGCGTGGTTCCTTCGTGCCAGCTTCGGATCATCCCTTTCCTGTCTATCCCCCACCTTGCCTTCCCTGACCTCAGACAATCAGCCAATCTGGGCAACTGAGTAAACAGGCGTTGGCATGGGTGTTACCACATGGTAATCTTTTCCTCAATTCTATTCCACTCATTTGGTCCATCTTGTGTTCTTCGTTATCACGTTTTACATGTTGAAGTGTTTTCAATCATACTGATATGGATTCTGGTGTGGAGCGTAATTTTACAACTACTTGCTTTGAATGGAACCGATCCATAAATACTGCTCTTGAACAGTGATTGCTGAAAGTTTTGAGATAAGCAAGCAGCGGCTGTCTAGAACGATACAAAAAAGAAATGGTATTCATTGTTGTGTTAAACTGTTGTACCACCTATGAAGCCTCTGGGGCCCACCACTCCAAATATCATTTAATCAGTGACCTTATTTGAATAAAGAAGCCAAAAACACAGGTTTGTACAATGTATCCTGGATCATTTCGCTGATCCAGGATACATTGTGCAAACCTGTTTTTAGCTTCTTTATTCAAATTCGTTACGGGGAAACTATGCTTCCGACTTTATTGTTGAATGTACTTATAAATCTTACAAATTTTCTTTTTGCACAGCTCGTGCTTCACACATCAAACTCGTCATCAACCACGTTAAGATAATTCTATTTCAGAAATTACCAACGTTCTTCATTTTTCGTATCACGTGGGCATATTTGGTTTACCTTACTGTGTGATAGAAATCTTTCCTTATGTCGTCCCAAATCAGTTACCACAGTGGCGTCATTATGTATTTTGTGAACTCCCTTTTTATGGGTCCTCACTGGGCGTTATAGGCACCCGAGCAAAACTTGTGTTCGGTATCGAATGGTCGTATAAAGTCCGGATAAATCCATGGATCATTTAGTTAACCTCCATGATTGGTCACTTGGGAAGTTTCGTTTTCGTTTACCATTTAGCCCTAATGATTCAGATCCAAGGTAGAATTCTGTCCCCGGATTCGTCTCATCTGTACCGAAAACCCTGAGAATCAATCTGATGCTTGACGCTTTTCACGTCATCTGTTTGTGTTGCCCGTTGTTTTACCCCTACCCTTCCCGGTGGCAGTACTGGGTATTCCGTACGACTACAATTTGGATCTGTGGTCCGCTGCCGTCACCCTGTTCGAACTTCATACCGGTCGCATTCTTTTCCCGGGCAAAACAAACAATGAGATGCTCCGATTAATGNGCTCGGGGTCACGTACCGAACCGCGTGATTAGGAGGGGGATGTTCCGAGCACAGCATTTTGATGAACAATGCAACTTCCTCTATCACGAGGTGGATAAAGTGACTCAAAAGGTGAGTCATTTAGTGATTTAATTTTATCAAACTTCAGTACGTGGCGAGTGTTCGAATTCCTTATGAGGGATCCCGTCTCATTGCCATTGCAGCCTATTGTCTCGAAGATCGTGCTGAATTTTTCTTATTTGTGAAATCAAATTCCACAAGTCCTTGTGCTCCTGTGTCTTTTGGTCAGCTCAGTGGATCACCGTCACCAAGATTGATTGCACACTCAGTTTTTTCTTTTAGCTATTCGTGTGCTGCATTAAAAGATAACCATAGGAGGTAATTGACTAACCACAATGACCTTGTTGGTAGGCTTAAGACTGATGACTTAAGACACGATATTGTCACGATATCCGGCTGTTTATAAAGGCATAATGTAGCATCCCAGTTAGTAGGTATAGGTCCTTCGATCGCCCCGCATTGTGGAACTGTTTTCGGATGTACGGAGTACCCAAGACGTATATTCTTTTTCTGTGAAGTACATGGACTATCGATGTTCAGCCTCGTTCACACAGGATCACACAAGTCTGGCGGGAAACAAGTAATGATGTGATCACGAAAAGGTGAAACAGCCTAAGTGTGTTCGTTTTTTTGCTCTTCGGAAAGTTCGCGTCTTGAAAGGACCGATTTTCCAGAGAGACCGTTGTCTTCTTTCGCATCTTTTTGACCAAGAAACGTGGTTGATGCAGATGAACTGAATATTGGTTATCTTCTCATCCAAACGCGGTGTTGTCAGAATAGTGATTAACTCCAATATTTGTCCTGCATGCAACGTATCCATCGTCTTCATTGTTTCGTGTGGGTTACAAAAGATTGTCTGTGGGCTATAGTTACTTTATTTTTGCGTTAATTAGGTCCACTCTGCCTACCTGTGACGCTTACCTTTTATGCGTGTTGATAACTCAGTAAGTGTCNACTATTCCGTCCTGCTGTAATGGTGTTCCATCACGAAAAAACTGCCTTGAGGCGTTGTGTTGAAATGTGTATCTCGATGATCCAGAAAGTTGCGCAGGATGGCTTTACTAAGATCTTATCATGCTTGAAAGGTTGAAGGACAGAGGTCAACTGAGCTGTGATCTCTCTCTATCCTCTAGGTTGGGTTTGATCTCAGAAGGCGTGAGGAAGGAGAGACAAGCGATCCAACAACGCGGGTCTCTTTTTCGCCTCATCCACTGCTTCCAGTGATAACCCTTACCGTTCTCCCTCTAAGTGGTCGATCACCGTAGTGACATATGTCCACCAAATTCAAATAATTACACAAACTATAAAGAATCCCACCCTCCATCGGTCGTCGAGCAGAATGATCAAGGCAGTGCTGCCCATCACATCGAACGTAGTAAATCGTGATAAGTGCGCTTCTGTTCACAAACCTCAACCTCGCTTAATTCCTTGTCTTTTATCCCAACCCTCTTTCTTTATTCCCTTTCTGGCTCGTAACGTTCACTTGAACAATTTTTCATCATTTACCAAATATCATTGTCGCACATTTGACTTCGAGATACTTCATGCCCAGTTCAGGACGTGATGATGCTCGTTCAATAGGTTGGGTCGGTCTGGTTTCGGACGGTGTTCCAATAAATTATCGATGGATATTTTACTGAACAACGCCGCTGACACTTCACTTGCTGATTGGATTTCCTTTCCTTTTTTGTTCATCATATCATGAGTTCTAATGCACGAAGTATCTAACTTCACTGAAGGCATCTGGCTAAGCCGAGAATGTGCTAATAAGTGACTTCAAGCGCAACTGAAGCTTATCTTAGAGGTAGTTGTGCCCCTCTCCCAGCGAACAGATATCGGCGATCCACTCCGGTTCTGCTTGGACATAGCTCTCAAAGGACTTCGTTTTGAACGAGTAAGCTGTGCAAAGCAGGCCACATGAAAGCAAACCACCGTTGGCGTTTGTCACGAAAAATCGCAGACCCTATTGAACAACATGCGTGGAGTCTGATCACGCACGAATCGTGATGTGTTTTACTGTTCGGCTCACTGGTTGCTGGCGAAAACCTCAACCTCGATTGATTCGTCATTGTATGTTTGTATATCATACATTTAACACCGGCTTGCGGACAAGCATGGTGCCAACGTCAAAACAATAATAACGATAACAATATAGGAGGGAGGTTGGGATACAGAATATAGGAAAAAGATGGAACCGTTAAAATGGGAAATAGCAAATAAATGGAATGACAATTTTTTGTGTTTCATCGTACACTTTTTGAAACTTTTGTGTGTTAGTTTGTCTTTTTTCGTGTGGGGTACGGGAGTTCGACAGGCAAACCGCGCCACTAACTTCTATTCTGGGCCATATCCCTCAACGTCTCTAAACAACGACAGTCTTCATCCCTTGGGCCCCAACCTGGAAGGCGGGCTGCACCAACCGAAGCTAAAGCTAAAGCCAGCTTCTTCATACATCTACACCATGTCATGATCTGACCGCCGCCCCGCTTCTTCCAGCCTTGCCCGGCACGTGCGAAGAGAGCACGGAAAGGTAGTCGATGGGCAGGCATACGCAAAACGTGACCAAGCCATCGGAGGCAGTGTAGAACGATTGCTTCTGTTAGAGGGCGACTATCCACACCCAACANGACTATCCACACCCAACACACGACGACGGACCTCGTCATTGCTCACCCGATGTTCCCAGCAGACACGAGCAATGCTTCGGAGACATTGATGGTCAAATACAGAAAGTTGATTCACATCCTCAACGCGGAGAAGCCAGGTCTCGCAACCGTAAAGCGAAACACTGCGAACTGCGGCGATGTACACTCTTACCTTGAGGGATTGGATGTTTGACCAAGCTGTTTGTACCGTTTATGATTAAAAGCTAAGGTAGGAGCCTTGCATCGTAATGGATTTGGTGAACCATGAGATCAAATTGAAAATACGATCTATTCGGCAGCGAACGTTGTTTGCGGACCGGATTCTGACCGGATTCAAGAAATGGAATCTCAGGAATCAGTAGGCCAGTATCAAAACAGGAATGGCTAGTGTCTGCAATGTCAACTCAGCAAAAGCTCCATGAATAAT